TTGGGAGTTGACAGGCAGCGAGGGGTTGGCTTCATTCAGAGCCTCCTGCAGGACTGGTTGGGCCGGAGCTCCGCACCAGAGCTGCGTGGAGCTGAAAGGTTGACCGGAAGATTGCGTTCATGTGGTTAATCCTAAGGAGTGCCCGTCCCTGGGGGAGAAGGAAAATAAACAAGGTTCTTTCCTGCTCCCTCCCTGCAGCTTATCCATGGCACAGTGGTGGATACTGCGATCGTCTTTCCCCACCGCCTGGGCCTGCCTTACAAACGGGCTCTCCGGACGCTGATGGCCGACTACCTCAAGCGCATCATCCAGGACAACGGTGAGAGCGAGGGGGGGCTGAGAGCACGGCCCCGTGTCCCACCCCACCTGGCTGCTGTTCCTCCTGCCCTGCTCTCCCCAGGCCCTGTCCCCACTGTTTTGTCTGCATGGCAGCTGTGAACGGGCCCACCTGTGCCAGAGTTTCATTTTGAGCCCTTGCTGCTTCCCTCTGTGCACTACGTGGGAGGCAGAGGAGTGGTGTGACGAGGCCAGAGGCGGCTCTCAGGGCCGTGTCGCATCTTCCTTGCTCTCCCTGCAAACTGACATTGACCTGTCTGTCTTCCTTGAGCGCAGTGTAGGTGCAGTGCTGGGCAGGAGCCCTGCGGCCTACAGACAAGCGGTGCTTCAGCCCTGCTTTGAGCCAGGCACAAGTCCTGCACTCGCATGTTGTTCATTGGAAGCTCTTCCAAATCCATGGCTGTGGTTCAGTGTGATCACAGCTGGGCTTGCACTGCTGTGTGGAGGGCAGTGGGGAGGCGGTGTGGGGACCAGGCTGCCCTGTGCAGCACAGGCTGTAACTGCTCTCCTTGTCTCTGTCCCCAGTGGAAGGACACGACTCCAGCGAGGACGCCAGGGCTTGCATGGAGCTGATGATCTGGAAGATCAAAGAAGACTCGAAAGTGAAACGATGACCTGCGCTTTCTCTCCCTCCTGTTCCTCCTCCACCTCTTTGAAGCAGTGCAATAAATGCTCAGAGTAACACTGTCCACCCGTACGCAGCAGCATGCTACCCCAGGCTCCCCGTGCACTCGCAGGTATCTCATGGGCTGCTGGTGGTGCAGCTGAGGGCACCAGCTGGCTGCCTACAGGTCCCTGTGTCCACATAGCGGCTCTCGGACCCTCTTTTCTCTGCCTGAGGGGTACTCTGTGCTACAGCAGTTGCCCCGTAGGCATGGCAAGGTGGTTCTGAGCAGCACAGCTAGAGGGAACTCCGTGGTTCCTCGGAGAAGCTCGTAGAGGTAGGTTGGATACGTGCAGAAGGATCTTTCTGGTTCAGTTCAAGGTAGATTGTTACTGTTATTTTTTTCCCAAATGTAACTTAAATTGCTTTTCTAGTCCAAAGCAGGTTCTCTTCCTGCGGTGTTGGGAGAGGGGTGGGAAGTGGAGTAGAGCTGGGCAGGAGGCTGTAAAGTGGATTCTGTAGCTGCTGTGTGAGCAGGGAGTGGCGAGAGCAGATGGAAGCCGTCCTGTGTGATCCAGGGCCGACCCACTGTGCTGCACAGCCGGGGCTGCAGCGAGGTGGGCCCAGGGAGCTCCCTGCTGAGAGCTGGGCAGTGCTGAGTGCTGGCAGCCTGGCACTGCAGGCCGGGCTGGGTGTCAGGCATTGCCTGGACCTCAGAGAGATGGGGCTGCGATGGGTTGGGATGCGGCACGAAGGGATGTGAGGGGGCTGCAGGGCAGGAGCTGCGCTGAGGGCAGCAGTGAATGCAGGCTGGTCGGGATGGGCCGTCCTTCCCCTCAGCCAGGCTTCGCTTTGGGCTGCTTGGGAGCAAGGTTTTGGGGAGGACCTGGGTGCAGGAGGGTCCCGAATGGTCGGTGCACATGTGCAGAACTCCCCCCTGCTCCATCCCTGATGGCAGGGACCCAATACGCACCAGAGCAAAAGCAATAGATGGAAAATGCTCCTATTTTTTTTTTCTTTTATTTTTTTTTCTAACTAGTTTACATGTTGGGAGCTTTCAGAAAAGCAGAAGCCTCCCTTGTTGTTGTGTCAGGCGCCCCGGGACGAAAGCAGTGTTGTGCGCAGCAGTGGATTCCCCTGGCTGCTCGCTCTGCATTCCATCTGCTGGCTGGCAGTGGGGGGGTCCCAGCCTCTTTTCCCCCCACTGGAGCCGTGCAGCTCCTGCTGCTCCCCCGATGCTCACAGGGCACAACACCTCCCTGCCCTGGCAGCATTGCAGCCTGCAGCCACGGTGTGTGTTTTCCTCCCAGCCTTCTCCCATCCCTGCAGGGAGCAGCGCTGGCCACCCAGACCCAGGGAGACACAGTTCAGAGCTTCACCAGGGAGGGAAGCTTTCTCTCCTGCTTTGCCTTTCTGTGGTTTATCCCGTTTGTTTTCACTCCTGGTGGCAGCAGCGCCCTCCTGCAGCAGCTTTCCCCCATCGTGTTGGGGTTGTGCCCTGCTGGGGGCCACACAACATCTCTGCAGTGCAATCAGAGCCCGGAGGGAGGGCTGTGGGTCCTTCCCCGTTCGTTGGGAAGGAGATGGGCACAACTGGTGTGGCTGAGAGTTGGAGCCACGTGTTGTCATTGCTGCCCAACAGCCAGAGGCTCCCGGTGCCGAGCAACCCCTGAGCCCACAGCCCTTCTGGGGGGGGGGATGCTGTAAAGCAGAGGTTTGTGGCCGCACGGAGGCGTTGGGTTGTGTATAAATGTTGTAACCTGTCACTTTTTGTAATTGTTTTTAATAAAAGGGTGTTGACTAGAAGCATGCTGCCCGTCTGCCTCTGCTTTACCTCCACGTGGGGCCTGGTGGGGCATCCCGGAGCATCCCTTGAATTGCTGCCCTCCCTTATTGCCTCCATGGGGGGCGAGGAGGTGATGCTGTGGGCACATCCCAGCTCGTGCCCCTGCCCCCCTTGCACTGCCTGGAGGAGCCCCATCTGTCTCCCACGCAGGGCAGGAACTTCAGGTGCTGAGCAGAGCTGATTCAGCACGGAGGAAAAGAGGTGAAGGTAAAAAAAAGTTCAAATGAAAAACGAATCTGCCGTTAGGTGACCTCAGTGGCAATGTGTTTTATCCAATGTGCTGCCCGTGGATGTGGCTGGGATGTCAGAACAGCCCAAGCTTGCAGCTCTGCCATCCCCCTCACCCCACGCTGCTCCCCTGCCCCACAGTGCTGCAGTGGGGCTGGAAGGACGCAGCGCCCGTCGGTTTGGGTGCCAACCTCGGCGTGGGGATGCGTTGTTCAGGAGCTCCCGCGTTCGCTGAGTGCTTTATGGACTGCCAGCCCAGCACTGGCTTAATCGCCTCCGGGTTTCTGCGGTTAATTGCGGTGAGCAATTAATCTAACGACGGCGGGACCGGAGCGGTGGGGACTTGTGCTGGGACGGAGCTCTCAGCGCTGCCGTGCGGCTCTGGGGGTTGCTGGTCCTGACGCCAAAGCTTTGGTGAGCAAAGAGCTGATTTGTATCTTCTCTCCTACGGGGCCGAAACCTGGGAGCCCCCCGGCTCAGTGGGGTTGCGCCCATCCCCACTCCTCCCCGCGGCGCTGGTGCCAAAGGGGGCCATCCTCACCCCCGTGCTGAGGCTTCCATCTCCCCTCGGAGCTGATGTAGGGCTGTGCCGTGCTTCCCTGGTGCCGGGGGGATGCGGTGCCCCATGGGGAGCAGCCAGGAGGGCCGGATCGGTGCCGGGGGTGTGGCGGGGGCTGTCCCACAAACCCGCGTGGGCAGGGCGCAGGCAGCGGGGCCACGGCCGGGATCGGCGCAGGTATTGCGGCCGCTTTTCCCCTCTTCCTTTTTGCCCTTCTTCTCACCCGCACCGGGGCACCAGTGGGTGCGGGGGGGGGCGTGAGGGGCTGCGCTGGGGGCTGCGTCTGTCTGTGTTGCTTTGGAGGGCGTTTGGACACCGCTTCGGTCCTTGCCTGGCTGGGATTGGGTTCATGGGGATGGGATTGGGGATGGGGATGGGGACAGGGATGGCGTTGGCAACAGGGACTGGGGATGCTGTGTTTTCCTGTGGGGTCGGATCAAAGCAGCATCCAGGTGCAGTTACAGGGTGAGCAAACAGCAGCAGGAGGGAAATTCACGGCCCCACGTGTTCCCTGGGCAGGAGCTGCCGGGATGCGCGGGCGTTTCCGCTCCGATCCACACCCGGTGCTCATCACAGGGCAGCTCCGCCTCGCTCTGACCCTAATTAACCAGGAGCACGCCTCAAGTGGCTGCATTTTAACCCCTGACTGGAAGCCCTGCGTGTCGGGCACTCTCCTGCTCTGCCATCGGGGTGCTGCGGGGTCGGGATCTCTGTGCTCTGTGCAGGCTCCGTTTCCCAGCTCACTGTGCTCCTCGGAGAGCCCCGTGTCTGCAGGTGCTTAATGAGCAGTGAGCTCGTTTGGCATCAACTGGGAGCAGAGCACAGGGGGTGACAGCAGTCAGGGTTTGGGATTTGGAAGCGCTGTGGACGTGGGGGGGTTGTGGATGTCACAGCCACGTCCTGGAGCAGAGCAAAGCAGCAGCATCTCACCTCTCTGCAGCATCCTCCTCTTCCTCAGGACACAGATGTGCCGAGCTGGCGGGGTCACTTAGGATGCAGGGACAAAAGCAGAGCCTTTGGTGGTGGATAAAAGCTTTGGGTTTTGGTCCGAGTTCTCAGACAAAGCCGGGTTGCTGCCCTTTTGGGGTCACCTTGGTGTGGGGTGAGGTGGGCTCTGCAGTGAGTGTGGGGCTCCCAGCATCAGCCTGTGTCATTGGGAGTGATGGGAGGAGACTCTTCTGTGGAAGAATGGGAAAAAAGGGATCAGAGGAATGAGGTGAGAAACAGCAGGGATGGACTCCTGGGGGGGAGGTTATAAAATGATGGGGTAATGGATGCTTTACGCCTCGCCGGCTTCTGACGTGTCGGGATCACAAAGAGCTGCACAAACATTAATTAATCTGCCCTAATGACCCGTGGGGAGGTCAGTGAGTGGAGGGGAATCTCGTCATCAGTGAGGGCGGTGCTCCTTGTGCTCCTTCGGCACGATGGGTGCGATGGCGACGTGAGGAGAGGCTCTCCTTCAATGATTTCCCATGTCTTCGTTGGAGAGGAATCTTTGAGTGGTCAGAGCGCAGACTGAGGCTGAAAGGGAGCTGCAGTCCAAACCTGAGGGCACGAGGGGCCCAGCCCCACACCAACACCTTGGAGTAAACCCATCAAGGCCGCATGTGTGATGGAAATCCAAAAGATAATGCTTTTGTGTCACCACTTCTGTGACGTTCAAACGTTAAGAATGCCACTGCACTTTCTCTGTCCTGCCCCATAGGGGTGAAGCTCAGCTGCTGGGCATCCCAGTGGGTCCCGCTGTGGTTCAGCATTGTGGGTATTCTGTGTCCTTGTCCCCAGGTCCTGGTAGAGGTGGCAGCATGGACGGGCAGGACCCAGCCCTGGGCTGTGAGCGTGAGCAGAAGGGGCAGCCAGGTTGGTGCGCAATGAGCGCGGGCTGGGATTTTCCTTTCTTTGGGCAGTAGAATGGAGGACTGGCATAAAGGTGGCCCATCAGATGGGTGCAGGAGTTGGGGTCGTGGCTGGGATGTCGCAGCTTGGTGGTGCTACACTGGGGTAGCAGGAAGAGCATCAGAAGGGGAACAAGCATCCTTAATAATAGCGCCATGGAAGCGCGTCTCCCCAGCTCACCATGAGCACCACAACGGGTCCCAGTGTCCCCGGAGGGCAGGGGGGGTGGCTGAGCACAGCCACTGGGTGACCACGAGCTCCTCCAGCTTTCACCTGGGAAGTGCAGGCCAACAACAGAGCCCACCACGAGCAGCTCAGGAAGAAATCTGCCTTCTGCGTGAGCAAGAAGAAATACGCGGTGAGTCAGGCGGCGCCAACCAAGGGCCGTTTCTGGTGCTGGGCCCCCGCTCTGGCTTTAAGCTGCCATCATTTTGGCAGGGCAACGCCATTAAGACGGCCAAGTACAACGTCCTCACCTTCCTCCCGCTGAACCTCTACGAGCAGTTCCACCGCATGGCCAACGTCTACTTTGTCTTCGTCATCCTCCTGCAGGTGAGATGGATGCGAGGGAGAAGCACGAGCATGAGGGACTGTTACCAAAGCAGGGCTGTCTGGTGCTCGGAGCAGGGCGGCCATTTGTAGGGACACTTGTGTTCCCACCTCTGACCTTTACGGATGGGATCTGGAGCTGACGTGGGTTCCCCTTTTGTGCCTATGCTGTAAGATGGCATCAGGGGCACCGATCTGCAGTAGCGTTCATCGGATTTCAGGACCTCTGAGCGGCTGAAGCTGAGATAAAATATGATTCCTTTAAATCGGTTGGGTTTGGATATAAAATAAGATCATACAGAAAACTGCCAGACAAAAATCCTACCGTCCCCAAATCTTGGCTTGGTTCCTGCCTTTTTTGGGCCATTCTAAGGAGGAGAGCTGGGACCCGAGGTGTCCCATGGCGGGATGGGAGTTTGGTCACTGAGGTGCCCTTTTCTTTCCCCAGACCTTTCCTGAGATCTCCACGCTGCCCTGGTACACTCTGCTCTTCCCCCTGAGCTGCCTTCTCACCATCCGTGCCCTACGGGACCTGATGGATGACATTGTGAGCGTGGGTACTGAGGGGTGGTCAGCAGAACGGGCTCCTTTGCTGTGGAAAGTTTGGGAGATGCCATCATTCAATGTACCTGAGACACCATCAGCTCTGTAACATCCAAATCACTTCGTATTTTCCCTTTGAAAGGATGTGGCCAGATGGTCTCCTTCCTTTAGGAGTGATATCTGTAATATCCCAATCCATGGCTGTAGTCACAGTTTGCCCCCTAGGGCCATCTTGGGGGGAGTTCTGCCCCTTCATTCATCAGAATGCATCTCCAGGGTGCTTCAATGAGCAGATCCTGTCCTGGGGCTGAGGAACCCAAAGAGGTTATGGTGTTAAGAGGGTTGCTTTCATGGCACAAGAACACCTGGCATGGCCCATCCAATTCTTCTTCTCTCTTCTGCCCAGGGCCGACACCAAAGTGACAGAAACATCAACAGCAGGCCCTGTGAGATCCTGTCTGGGGAGAGGTAAGGGGCTCTGGGGAGAAGGGTTCGTGCTTTCCTTGCAGTGAAGCAGTGATGGAGCATCCGGAGTGCTGAGCACCCCTGAGTTCAGTGTTTTGGTGGCACCAGGCCTTGCAAGCTTGCATCGCCCCCCAGATCTGGTGCAGCTCCGGGAGTTTCTTTGGAAGGATGTTTGTATCCCAACAGGTCCAAGAAGCGCTGGTCTGCCTGTAGGCATGGGGGTATGGATGTGACAAAGCAGTCCTGTGCCACTCGTGGTGCCCTGATGGCCACAGAGGAACCAGCAACGCCCTGCAGACCCCAAGAAGCCAGGAGAGCCACAGGCTGCTCCAGAGGATGGATGCAGCGTTGACCCTGCCGTGCAATATTCTAACCCTGCTGTGACCGCGGGGCTGCAATATTCATGCGTTCTGAATTCCCCTTCAGCTTCCGCTGGCAGAAGTGGCGCGATGTCTGCGTTGGGGACGTCGTCCGCCTGCACAAGGACAGCCTCGTCCCAGTGAGCAGCGCCCCGTGGCTGGCGGCTGGTGTGCCAAGGGGGGCTCAGCAAGGGGAGACCCAACCAGGTGCTTTCCCTTTGCTCCTGCAGGCCGACATGCTCCTGCTGTGCAGCTCAGAGCCCAGCAGCCTCTGCTACGTGGAGACCTGTGACATCGATGGGTGAGCAGTGCTGGATGTCCCGGCTGTGGGCTGAGCTCTCCAGCCCTGGGCACCACCAGAAATGGGGGTCAGGTGTGCTAGGGAGGCTGGCAGTCCTGCAGAAACCACGAAATCTGGGGGGTCCTCCAACAGCCAACCTTACAGACACTGCAGCAATGGAAGGAGCCTTTCATTTGGCCCCAAGGATTTTGAAAATTGGAAGGCCAAGGAAATTTTCAGGCTACGGTTTTGGGGAAAACCCTGCACCCTGCAGAGCAGCTCGTGACCTCAGGTCTATCTCCTCATCTCCATTCCCTTCCAGCTCCTCATCCCTCCTGCTCGTCTGCTGGATGATTTAATGACAGGGTCTCCGGGGCCGGGGCTTTTTTCCTGCTTGATGTCTGCCACGATAGCTCCCTATCTTGCTTTTCATCACCATTGCTCATGTAATCACCCAACAATTAATGTCAACTTCTGTCCCATGGGCCCGATAGCAGAATTAACAGTGCTTTTGCCCTGTAGGGTTGTTTCATTCTTCCCTCGCTGACTCTTTTTTGCAGAGAAACAAACCTGAAGTTCAGACAAGCCCTCCTGGTCACCCACCAGGAGCTAACAAGTGAGGAGAGCTTGGCTGCCTTTGATGGTGAGAAACCCAGATGGCTGAGGATGTGGCCTCCACCCCATGGTCACATCGGGGCAGCCTCCAGAGGTCTCCCATTGGCCTCACTCTGTCCCCAGAGACACCAAATGCCCTCACTCAGCACCTCCAGACCTGGAGGGTGGTCCCTACTAAAGGGTCTGCATGGAGACCCTTCCCCAGCAGCGTGGTTGGGGTTGGGTTAGGATGGGGGTTAGGATAGGGACTACTGGATTAGGATGGGGGGCACAGGGTTGGGATGAGGGCTGTTGGGTAGGATGGGGGCCATCGGGTTTGCGCATGGCTCAATGTCTGTTTTCCTACCAGAATCAAAATCTGAGCATCCAGACATGAGCTCAGACCCTGGATTTTTTTCCCCCTTTGGTCCTGCATAGGATGCTGTGTCAACAGCAGTTGGAATTAAGGATTTGGTGCTTTATCCCATGTGGTTCCTCGACTGGGCACAGCAGGCTGGTGCTCCAGCACAGCCTTAACCCGAGTCTCCCATCCCACAGCTGGAAGACGTGCAGGAAAAGTCTGAATTATCCCTTGAGAAATCCTCTTCTCTGGAGGAAACGAAGGACCTCGCGTTTCCCCCACAGCCAACGCCTGCTCTGTGTGCTCTGCTCCAGGGAGAGTGACCTGCGAGGAGCCCAACAGCCGCATGCACAGCTTCACTGGTGTGCTGCAGTGGAGAGGCGAGACGCACGCGCTCGATGGCGACAGGATTCTGCTGAGGGGCTGCAAACTCCGCAACACCGACACGTGTTACGGCTTGGTTCTCTATGCAGGTGAGCACCAGCTCCAGGATTCTGTATTTCCCTGCGTCGTGTCCTGGATCCACGTCCCTTCATGTCCTCTTGGCCGTGCGTTGGCTGTGGGTAGAGGAGGGCTGAGGGCGGTGGAAGGAGCTTTTTTTGCATTTTTACTTACAAAACGGTTTCTCGCCCAGGATCTGATTCTAAAATTATGAGGAACTGCGGAAAGATCAAGAGGAAGAAAACCAAGCTGGACCACATGATGGACCGCCTGGTGGTCATAGTAAGAGCTGTGCAAACGCCTCCTGGGGGTGCTTAGAAGCTTCCTCGTGAGGCACTGCTTCCTTGGGCGATGCTGATTTTGTTAAGCTTGAAGTATTTTGCTCAGTTCTTGGTCCAGTTCCTGGTGGCTGTGTTGTCATCTCTTCTCCAACTGACTGCTGGCATTCCTCTTGGGTAGGGTTTGGGTTGGGGTCAGGAAGGTGGGGAAGTTGGGTTTCACTCTGTTTGTTGTGGATGTGTTCAACTGAATTCTATGCCACGATCCTTCGTCTCAGCCCAGGATAGCCTTCAACTTCTGTGTGGTCTCAAAGCAGCTTCACGACCAGGGGATGCAGTGAGAAGGGCTGCAAGGGACAATGGTTGGTCTGGTAGGCTCTGAGGGATGCGCCATTCTCAACCTGCCTTCCCCCATCAGATCTTTCTGGTGCTGCTGGTCACATCGCTGTGCCTCGCCATTGCCTCAGGGTTCTGGGCCAAGATGTTCCAAGAGAAACACAGCTACCTCGCTGCTCTCTATAAGCACACGACTCCTGCCAAGCAGGCTTTCTTCAGCTTCTGGGGCTTCACCATTCTCCTGAGCGTCATCATACCCATGTCCATGTATATCACGTAAGAAAGATGCAGATTGCACACAGCTGGCACTCAGTGCCCCCCTCCCTCCCCTTGCCCATCATCTGGCACCTTGGCTTGCAGCCACAGAGTGGGGCTGCCACAAAAGGGGCTCAGCACCCAAGCAAAGGTGATGCAAAGACGCACGCGCCAACGTTGGAAATGGTGGACAGGCGGAGGATGACCAACCGACGAAGGCGATAACTCCTTTCTCGCATTCCCACTCTAGGTTTGAATTCATCTACCTGGTGAACAGCTTTTTCATCAACTGGGATTTGGAGATGTATTATGCTGTCAAGGACATCCCAGCCAAAGCCAGGAGCACCAGCCTCAACGACCAGCTTGGCCAGGTGGAGTACATCTTCTCGGACAAGACGGGCACCTTGACGCAGAACATCATGAGCTTCAAGAAGTGCTGCGTCAACGGGAGCATCTACGGTAACTTGTGGTGGTGGCAGGTTGGTAGGGATTGCAGAGTTGGGTTGAAGCCAGGCTTTGGCTGGAGGTCACTTTGGTTCTTTTCTCTTCTCTGGCTTGCTGGGAAGCTTGGGGTATGTGGGTTGGTCTTGGTGGTGGTGGAGGAAGTGAAGGAGGAGGAGGTGAAGGAGGAGGAGGTGAAGAAGTCGTCCTTCCCTTTATGATTTATTCTCATGGTGAGTGCATGTGGTGCTCTTTGCTTTCTTTAGTGATTCAGATTACTTTTTTCCCCTCAGAAACCCCAGAACTGCCAATTCCTTCCTTCTCTCATTGCTACATTTACTCGAGCTCTTGGCTGGCTTTTGGTGCTTAATTAGTGACATTTAGAGAGCAGCGAGGGGCAGAGCTTTAGCACAGAGCTCCTTTTTCCTGAGATCCTTATCAAACACCTGAGACAAACAGGGACAAAAGGAAAGAGGAGAAAAAAAACATTTGGCAAAGTTTCTAAGCAGGAATAAACTCAATCCTCTTCTTCCTGTGTATCACATTGCACCTCTGATAGCAGCACTGACACAATCCTTTCTACCTTCTGACAACTGGAAATGCAGGTGAAAGCCAGACCTGCACTGTCAACATGAAAAACATAGAAAGTCTGAGCTCTTCAAGAATGAAATCAGTCAAACCTGAATGCCCCAATGGCTCACAATGGACAGACACTGGGCCAGCACTGGAAATTCCCTCCTTGCCAGTCTTCTGGCCAGCAAAAGAATCCCAGCAATCCCTCCTAGCAAAAAGCTGCTTGGAGCTCTTGCCAAGCGATGCTCCCAGCTCTTCAGTAACTGAGCTGTCTCTTATTTTGGCAGGTTTGGACACGGGCCATGAGAACAAACAGCCACCAGTGCGTAATTCCCCTCTCCTGCATAGCATGGGGCCAAATATGACCACGGCAGAGCATCATAGGGTGGCCCCGTTGTTGGTGTCTTGGGTTCCTACAGCCTGCCCGTGCCTCTTGCAGGGGTTGGTGCTGACCCAGAGCTGCCATGGGGAGAAGATGTTGGACTCCAACAACGTGGGGCTCCGGGAAGCAGTGCAACAAAACAAGGATCCGGTGCTGCGGGAGTTCCTGCGGCTGCTGGCCCTCTGCCACACCGTCATGGTGGAGGAGAGGGGAGGTGGGTTGGGGTCCCCTATGAGGGGGTTCCCTTCGAGGCACAGGGGCCGTGATATCGTTGATATGAACTGCCTAGGCTGGGGTTTTCTGTTGGATAGGGATAGGGACTGGGAGTGGCACTGGGATCCCATTGGGAACGGGGGTGGGATCCCACTGGGGTCGGCGTGGGGATCCGTGTTGTTGGGGTCCTGTTGGGAGTGGTGCTGGGGTCCCATGGGGAGTGGTGGTCCTTGCTTAATGAGGACGAAGAGCACACTGTACTCACACAGCTGTTATTCTCTCTTCTCATGAACTCAACAGAAGTTAAAAAATACGTATTTTTAAATTTCAAGATTTGGTGGATTTAAATCATCTTCAGCAAAAGTGTGTATGACTGTAAACCAAACAAGGCTCCTGAAATGGGATGGATCGGGGGGGTCGGTTGTGCTGAATGCATGTTTTTTAACCTTTATCCTTTGGAACATGTTTAGAAAAATGATTCTAAGGAGCTGAAGGAGTTGGACTTGATGATCCTCACGGGTCCCTTCCAACTCGAGATGTTCTGTGTTCCTACAGCTCTGTTCTATGACTTTCCCTAGCTTGGTAGCTCAGGCTTCAAGGTCTCCATCAGTAACGTCGGTGCAAGGCTGAGGCGTTCCAGGTGTTTGAGGGATGCTCATCTCGGTGTGTCCTCACCCAATCCTTGCTTCTCTTCCACAGACCAACTGGTTTACCAGGCGGCTTCTCCAGATGAGGAAGCACTGGTGCTGGCAGCCAGGAGCTTGGGTTACGTCTTCCTGTCCCGAACGCAGGACACCATCACCATCAGCGAGATGGGGGTGAAGAGGACGTTCCAAGTGCTGGCCATGCTGGACTTCAACAGCGATCGCAAGAGGATGTCGGTGTTGGGTGAGCTGAGGTGGCTGCAGGGTGGTGCCTTACAAGGGGACGGCGAAGAGCAGCTCTGTCCTTTCTGCCTCCCAGTGAGGGACCCACAGGGCACCATCCGGCTCTACAGCAAAGGGGCTGACACTGTGATCCTGGAGAGGCTGCGGGGTCGGGGACCCAACCAGGACTTCACCGAGAGGGCTCTGGATGTGAGTCCCACAGCAGCTGGGTCATGAGGGATTGGTTGGGTGCCCCGCTGCTTCTCTGTCCCCACTCTGGCTTTAGGATTTAGCTCTGTCTTTCCCCCTTCCGCTCTGAGCCTCAAATGCACCTGGAATGGGGGCTGAGGGCACCAAATCCCCTTCTTGGTGTTCTGCATCGCTCTCAGACGTAGGGTCTGATATTTGGGTCCTGCGAGGAGCCAGGAGTTGGACCTGATGATCCTGATGGGTCCCTTCCAGCGGGATATTCTGTGATTCTATGATCACTCCTGGGGTGGGGGGCAGACAGAGCCCAGAGGAGACCTCAGACCCATGTGAGCACAGAGTCAAGGTGAGGAGGACACGATGTCTCATCTTGGCAGCACTTTGCAGAAGAGACCCTGAGGACGTTATGCCTGGCCAGCAAGGAGCTGAGCGAGGCGGAGTACGACGAGTGGAGCAGGAGGCACCGCATGGCCAGCGTCCTGCTGCAGGGCCGGGCGTGTGAGCTGGACAGGCTGTACGAGGAGATGGAGCAGGACCTGGAGGTGGGATGGGGCCAGGGGTGGGGAGGAACGCCTTGCCCTGTTCCCTGCTGGCCCCACAGAGGGTAGGAGCACGGAGGGGTTCAGCTCTTTTGGGGTGGAGGGGGAAGAGTCCAACCCGACACCAATCCTCTGGGTGGCAGGGCAGGTGGAGATAGCCCTTGGGTGGTTTTGCAACATGTCCACCCATGGGAAGGGGATGGAGCTTGCAGGAGACCCCTGGTTGGAGCCAGGATTAACCTTCAGCTTGCCCTGACCCCCTGCCCCACGTCATGGCACCTTCCCTCCAGCTGCTTGGGGTCACAGCCATTGAGGACAAGTTGCAAGAAGGGGTCCCTGAGACCATCCAGCTGCTGAAACTGGGCAACATCAAAGTGTGGGTGCTGACGGGAGACAAACAAGGTCAGTGGAGCCAGCCCCAGACCCCACCAACACATTTCAGTTTCTTCCCCAACCAGGACCAGAGATCAGATGAGACCCTGGGAGGAAGCAATAGTGGGGCTCTGCTGTTCCATTCATACAGAACAATAGCACGACCCACAGATCACATTACCTGTGGGGAAACTGAGGCAGGGGAAGCTGTCTGCATGATGGCATAGGGTGCAGAACAGTCCCAGCACCTGTTGGCCTCCAGGGCTGATGTCCTGGGATGGTAGGGGGGCACAAGAGCCCACTGATGTCCCTGTATTGCAGAAACAGCAATGAATGTTGGCTATGCATGCAAGCTGCTCACAGATGACATGGAGATCCTGGAGGAGAAGGAAGTGAGGTGAGGAATCCTGACCTTCTGGGTCGTGACATCAGGGGGTTCCTGGAATCACAGAGGTGTGGCACTCAGGGATGTGGTTAGTGGGCAGTATTGGTGGTAGATGGACAGTTGCACTGGATGACCTTAGAGATCTTTTCCAGCCTTAATGATTTTGTGATTCTATGACATCCAAGGGCATAGGAATCCATGCAGGGCGAGCATGGAGGGCTGGAGATGCTTCTCCTTCCCCATCCCAGCCTGGATGTCCATTCCCATCTTCACCCACTGACACCTTTCCAGTCTTCCCCATTCATTTCTGCACCTACATTTGGCTGCAAAGTGCTCAGCTTGGTTCTCTGGCCTCCGAACCACATGCACCAGGGCTGATTTCTCATCTCATGAGCCCTCTCAGCCCCTCTTTGCCCCTCTTGCTCCCACCATTGGGTACCAGCCCTATCTTGGATCCAGCTTTGAGATGGTAAATGCCAACCAACGAGTCATGGCCAAAGCTGACCAACACGCCCCATGTGCCCTCCTTGCACAGTGAGATGCTCGAGGCTTACTGGGCGAGAAACAACAACATCAGTGGCAGTGACTGTGCCTCACAGCAGCACCCAGAGCCTCTGTGCCACAAGAAGAGAGCTCTTGTCATCAGCGGGGACTTTGTGGTAAGGAGATAAGTGGGGCTGGTTCTGCCCCAAGGCATTGGATGGCACCAGGAGGTACCCCAAAATGGGTGGCAAAAGCCACAGGAACCCTGTTTTGGGATGGGGAATGAATGTTAGAGGAGGTGACCTCACGCTGATCACTTAGTGATGGGGGCTTCACCCACACTGGCCCAAGCTGGGGGCTCATGTGCCCTTCTTCAAGCAAGGTGCAGATGTGGTACTGAGAGATGTGGGTCAGTGGGCAATATTGGTGGTAGGTGGATGGCTGGACTGGCTGATCTTAGAGGTCTTTTCCAACCTTCATCACTCTATGATTCTGGTCATACTGGGACAAATTGCTCTCAAACTGTACCTACTGCATGACAAACCCAGAGATTAAATTTTTTTTTGTTGCACCAGAGAGATTTGAGAGCATCACAGATTCCACTGTGACGTCCCTGCCAGTCTCTAGAAAACCCAAATTTGAAATGTTGTTATCCTCCCTTCATGCCCATATTTGTTTCCCTATGCTAAAAGAGCTCAGACCAGCGCCATCCTACCTGCTTGTAGCCCCCATCCCTCTTGACCAGCCCTGGTGTGAGGTTCTAACCATGTGTGCTCTCCCCTAAGGACACAATCCTGCAGACAGGAGAGGTGCTACAGAAGAAGGGACAGCTGTGGCAGCACCTGGCTTGCCATGGGACGACGGACCCCCAGGAGAAGGGCAGTGTGGTGGAGAAGGCCTTTGTGGACCTGGCCACCAGCTGCCAGGCTGTCATCTGCTGCAGGGTCACCCCCAAGCAGAAAGCTCTCATCGTGCAGCTGGTGAAGAAGCACAAGAAAGCCACCACGCTGGCCATTGGGGACGGGGCCAACGATGTCAACATGATCAAAAGTGAGGCTGGGGGATGTGCTGGTGGGCTTTGGCTAGAGCATCCAACTAGAGCGGGAGTGGTGGAACCCCACCTACCATCTCCACTGTGTCACTTCTCCTTTGAGGTGAAGAGCTGGGCGAGGAACACTCAACTCAACTTCCAACCCAATTCCCAGCACAACCCCTGGCTCATTTTCCAACCTAATTCCCAATCCAGTTTGCAATGCAGTTGTGCTGGGAAGGGAGTGAAAAGCACAAGACCATGGAAAGGAGCAGGGTGGACAGCTTGCTTGGGCAACGGGGATGTCTTGAAGACTCCCCTGCTTCCCCAGCAGCCCCCAGCACAGGGCTGTGCCCTTTGCACACCCAGCTGTGCCTGCTGTCACACTCTATGGCACACGACGGACATGCAGGAGGGCTTTTCCCCTTTACCCATCAGCCCTGGCCGCAATCTGCTGGGCAACCAAACGCTACAGAAAAAGGGCTCTGCTAACCCCTCACTGCCCACATCTCACACCCTCTGCAGCTGCTGACATCGGGGTGGGCATCAGCGGGCTGGAGGGCGTGCAAGCCGTGCAGTGCAGCGACTTCGCCCTGGCGCAGTTCTGCTACCTGCAGCGCCTGCTGCTCGTCCACGGCCGCTGGGCTTACCTCCGCATCTGCAAGTTCCTCCGCTACTTCTTCTACAAGACCTTTGCTGGCCTCATGACCCAGATCTGGTTTGCTTTTCATAGTGGATTCACGGCCCAGGTGAGCAGTGGCTGCGTATCGGTGCGGAACGCGGCCCTCCTGTGGGTTTTTGTACCCACCCTGATTTTTGGGGGCTCCCTGGTTGAGATGCAGCTGGTTACTTGCACTTGGGCCATGGGCTGGGAGAAGTGCCCTCAGAGGCACTGGCAGCTCTTGTGAGAAGCAGCTCAGCCTCACAAATGCGCAGGGAAATGGACCACAAGGTTCTCCCAAAAATGGGAGCTCCTACCTAAGGGACAAAGGTTATCAGTGCAGTGTGTGGCTCCAGCCCCACCTCTGCAGCATGCTCCCAAAGACCCACAGAGTGCTGCAGACAACCCAGTGCTGATGCAGATCTCAGAACAAGTCCAGAGGGATTTCCATGGGTTTTGAGGCAGGACTTGGCCTCACCCCAGTGCCTGGGCATCCTTTCCGAGTCTTCCCAAAGCACCACCGAGCTCACAGCCACTTCATTCTCCCCGTAGCCTCTCTATGAAGGCTGGTTCCTTGCTCTCTACAACGTTTTCTACACCGCCTACCCCGTGCTTTCTGTGGGTCTTCTGGAGCAGGTATGGGACCACCAGGCTGCACCCAGCCCCTATGCCTGGAGGGCAAACCTGCCAAGGGTGGGAAGATGATGCTTGAGCCCCTCTGTGTTCCAGCAGGACGTGAGTGCCAAGAAGAGCCTGCGGTTCCCTGAGCTCTACACCATTGGGCAGCAGGACAAGCTCTTCAATTATCGTATTTTCAGCGTGACGCTCCTGCATGGTGTCAGCACGTCGCTCACCAGCTTCTACATCGCGCTCTGGGCCTTTGAGGACCACGTTGGCAGCAGGACTGTGGGGGACTACGAGTCTTTCTCCGTCACGGTGGCCACCTCAGCTTTGCTGTCGGTCCTCGTGGAGGTGAGCACCCCTCCCTGTGTCTGAGCTGGGGATGAACTGGAGGCTGTTGGCACGGATGAGGGGTTGGAGGGAACCGGTCCAAATGGAACACGGGTGAAGGGACCCCAGGCATGCTGTGATGTTGCCCAGTGCAGCTGAGGATGATCTCCCTTGAGGCAGAGACAAGTGGCCAAATGGAAGTACATCCTCCAGCCTTCACAAGGAGTTGTATGTCCGTGCAGATCATCCTGGACACCAAATTCTGGACTGCGTTGTCTTTCCTGATGGTCACAGCCAGCTTGCTGCTCTTCTGCCTCTTCTCCTTCCTGACCCAGAGCATCGATGCCTTCAGGATCGCCCCCGCTGTCTTCCGTTTTCCAGGTCAGGTGCCCCAAATCCCTGCAGTCCATTCCTCCCAGAGCCAGGCCAGCCCATTGCGGGCTCCATGCCAGGAGCTGTTTTCCCAGTGGATCACGTCTTCGCTTGGCTGTATCACATCCCTTGGTCTGATCCTCTTGCTATATGGTCCTGGGTGACAGGTTGACCATTTCATGAACTTGCAGTCTTGCTTTTTGATCCTGGTTGAGATCCCTTAGCAGCTTTGTGAGTGTGGGGCTGTCCCCTCACCATTGCTCTCTCTCCTCTCCACCTCTGCTGCTTGAACATGGCCCACAGATGCCACCCAGAACGCTCTGACCGACCCTTACATCCTGCTGGTGGTCCTGCTGTCCCTGGTGGTGAACACCATCCCCTCACTGACCATCCGCTCGTACAACGCCATCACAGGCAACACCAGCATCCAGCAGGTGAGGATCTGCCTCAAGGACCAGCGTCTGGAACCAGTAAGGGTGTTGCTGGTGGTGGGATGGATGCGATTCCCCAAGGGAGGGTCACCAGGCCCCTGTTTCCTTGCAGAAGATCTGCTGGAAGGCCAGAAGGGAGCCGGAGCCCTCGGTGGAGCTGCGCACCCACGTCCCCCGTGGCTCCTTCCACCGCCGTTCCAGCTATGCCTTCTCCCATCAGGAGGGCTACGCTGGCCTCATCACCCGAGGGGAGAGCCTGCGCACCAAGGGCACCCACAGCACCACCAAGGGCACCCAAGGCACCCACA